GGTTTCTGGTCCAAACTGTTTTCTCAAAGCCCAAACTAGTTTGGGCAATTTGGGCTTCTCAGCATTTTTTATAAACAACTTTAAAGTAATTTCACCCAATTTCGGCTAATAACAAAAAATAGATTGGGCTCATAAAAAAGTAATTTTTGCCCAAAGTGTTTTGGCAATTTCGGCTACTAATAAAGAAAGTTTTGGCTAGAAACCTTAGTGATCATTGGAAAAACTCCAAAGTATTTTGGTGCAAATGACCCCCATGCCAACTTGCTTAATTTCTTGTATAATTCTCCATAATTATCTTGAAGAAAGTTATTGATGCTATTTGAGAGTGGTTAAAGATTATGAAGGAGATTATCAACACATTACTTGTAATCTGCATTATGTGAGCTTGCAGTATCAGAGCTAGTGTAAAGAAGGAGATTGTATAGTGTATAAGCCCCAAAATGTTCAATAAGCTCATTACAAAATCCTTTACTTTGATGAGATGGATTATTCAAAGTATGGAAACAGTAATTGTTGATGGCATTTGTAGCTTCTATAATGGCAAGTGGGTTATTAAGTTACTCGAGATGTATTAAGGTTTTTCCATCCAGATCTGTAATGCACTCAGGATTCACAACATAATGAAGTTTCTTCAACCAATCCAGTGAACTGAAATCCTTTTGTGCTTTGATAATCAGATTGGCCTTCTTTGTGATGGTCTCTTTATCAAAATTATTTTCATTATTTTTCAAGTCCAAGGCATGTTGGAGTCTTTTCCACTTATGTTTGAGATGGAGTCACACTTCCCTTGGTCCAATTGGTTCCTTAAAGCCTATCCATTTTCCAAAAGCAATCCGCAATTTTTTGTTAAGATCTGATTCCTCATTAATTTCAACTTCTTTGTTGGTTATTTCTCTATTGATCAATTCGAGAAAATCTTGAGGAATTGCATATGAATCAAGATCATTATTGCCTAGTTTTGCCTCTTAGAATAAGGTCTCAATGAATAAATCTTGAGTGGATACATCTTGTTGAGACTTGCTTTCTTTTGATGATACACAATCTGAGATACAGAGGGGAATGCTTGTCCATTCCTTTTCAATATAATAAATCTTATCATCTGTGCACAGCCCTCAAGTTTCAGATTGGGTTTGATGCTAAAAATAGTTTGATAGTTAAATTTTGTGAAATATATTATAATAAAAATATAACAGAGTGTGTTAATATATTGTGCCAAATCTAGTAGTCAAACATTTTTATTGTTGTTTTGTTTTGCTTCACAAACATATGTTACTCAGGATAAAGAACGATTATACCTTTAATGGATCAAAAATGATATCAATAGGGGTGGTAGGTAATGGTAAGTCTTCTTCTGGTTCTTGAGATGCTTCTTGTTTCTTATGTTTTTTATTAGAGTGTTGATGTCATGAGAGCTTTTTAGTAGGAATTGCTTCCTGAGATGAAATGGCCTCAATTTTTTGCTTCTTAGGTATATCCATTGTAAAATTGATTAACCTATAAAAAATGGTTTTCTATGAATTTATTTTTTATTTTTTATTTTTTTGCAATTTATTATCAAATTAACAATCAGAATTTCATAATCAAACACCCCACCCAAAAATTTAAATAGAAGCGTTTTTTGGTCTAATTAATTTATAATCTACAAATACATGGTCAAATTTATATATACAAAAATGGATTTGATCTGCAGCACAGATCAAAATTCATCCAATAAAGTTTTTATTTGACAGAGACAACTTACTTTATGAATGGTTATAATGAGGTTCGCACTTTTTTTCCAAAAACAATTATGGCAAACAAATATAGCAAATACTACAATCTTATAATAAAAGGAACAATCTTGGTTAAATCGGGTAGGTTTGTGTATACCAGAGTGATTTTTTTCTTCGATTTTACATATAAAATTAACATTAATTTTATATATGAGTGACACTTGACCCCATATAGATTTGCGACTGATAATAATTACATTTAAGAAATATATTGTGAAAATTGAGATAACAAGACTGCCAAGTTTTTAGATTAGAAAACATTTTATTTATTAATCCTTAAAATTGTTAATAAAATTTTGAATAAAAGCATTATTATTTACATAGGAATAAAATGTAAAGGAAAAATAATAATAAATGATTCTGCCATAAAAAACATACCTAAATGAATTTTTATTTGCAATTGGCTAAACCTTACATATAAGCAAAATTTGACATTTGAGAGTCAGATTAGATTATTTTCAGTTTTATTAAAGACTTGCTTTGAACTTTTTCTTGAAGATATGTGTTATTTTAAATTTCTTTTGCGACAATTGTTGTAATCCTTTGCAATTTTGCACACAGCAAAACAATATGGTTGGCATGTGAATTTTCCAATTCACGCTTTAAAATTGTATGTGAGTTTGAAATTCATGTCAATTTAAAATTGACATGAATTTTGGGGTATTTAAAATCCACGTACCAATTTTTATTATAAAATTTTTTTCACACATCAATGTGAATTTCAATTTCACGCACAACAATATGTATACTTTTGCTAGATTTATGTAGATCTCCGTTGTTTAGCATCTTACAAAATTACAAAATGATTGATATTTTTTATTTTTAGGTACTTAAAATGTACTCGAAATATTTAAAATATGGAAAAGGTAAGAGTATTTTAAGAGTACACTAAAACACACAGTACTTAAATATACTGCATGTTTAAAACATATTTATTCATATGATTTAGCATACTGAAATACACTTGAAAATGAAAAAAGTTTAGTTCAAGTGTCAAAATATTCGTAGGATCTGAAAGAGAAAGGTTCGAATATAGAAACAGGTCTTTCGCATCACAGGGTTTGAATTTGATTCTGTCAAAACCGTGAACCAGAATTTGACCTGGTGAATTTATCAATTGGTTACTTTTTCAAAGAAGTTGTTGTTGTCGTCGTGGCTTAGATTATCATCTGCACTAAAAACACGAATAATAAATGTTCCAATTGAGCTTCATATTTTCACATAATTTTTTTAAAAAACCAGCAATTTACAGCAAGTGGACCAAAATAGATTGTTGAGGCAAGTTTTCCGGCAGAAATAAAAGTGACATTATAACTAGTGATCTTACACACTGATTAATCAAATATTTTGATAATCGGCCAATCAATAGAAGTTTATACCCGGGGTGGTAATAGTTTTCCATTCAGTATTAGTATTAGTATTAGTATTTGCTTGAAGATTTTAATTGATGATCTGTGAATAAAAGTGAAAAACATAATAATACAATTGCATCAGGAAAAATAAATCTTTAATTCATGCAAAGTTCTTCTAAACTCTTTTAATTGAAACATTATTGTTGATTTCTTTTCTTCTTGTTTAGTATATCTATAAAATAATAATAAATTATTTATAACATCATATACCAAAATAAATAATAATAATGTAGTGGAGCAAAAGTATAGTACAATTTTTCGATTAGCAATTTTTTAATTATAGACAGATCACCAATTAATATTAATTAATAGTTTTTAATCGAAATCGAAAACCGAAATTCAAATCGAAATTCAAAATTCAAAATTTACACGAAATAACAAATTATACATATCCTCAAGCCTTGCTAAAAATCCTTCGGCCACATAATTCATTGCTTCAATTCTTCTTTCCAAAGTATTTTCATTAATTACGATATTTTCATTGTCAAAGAATTTATTTCACACAAAAATCATCAATTTGATATTTATTTCAAGATAAAATTGTTTTATTTCAATAGGTGCATTTGGACATCTATTCGCTAAATGTTCTTGTGTCAACTACGGACTTCCTTTTGTTCCATTGGAATCATACTTGTCAGGTTATCTTTCTGCACCTTTGTTAAAATGTGTCCAAACAATGTCGGGAGATTTTCCGGCATTCTTAGAATTTGGCAAATAAGAATCAAAATTGCTTGACATAATAATAAAAAATATTAATTGAATCGGGATTCGATTTTCAATTCGATTTAAATTTTAAAAATTTTAATCGAAATGTTGTAATCATCGAAATTGATTTCGAAACTAGCCATCACACTGAGTAAAGTTTGCTGGTTGGTCACCGGTTATCCGGTTAATCGGGTGTAAGGGATTCGTTGGTTAGTCGGTTGTTGAAAATATTCGACGGTTGGATGGGCGGGTAGTTGACGTTTAATCGCGGAAATATTTTTTTAATTAGAGTTTGGTACCGCGCAAAAATTAACATTAATTACATTAATGGTTAATTTGATCACGTGAAATTTTATAACTAGTAAATTCGAATAAAACGAATAATATACAGTGATGATAATAATAGTAGTAGCAGAAGTAATTGACATTTTTTCCTTGATCAATCAATAATAGTTGTAATAATTTTTTTCTTTGTAGTTAAAATAGCATTTGTTTTAGAACAAATGATGTTATTGCAACAAACAATAATAATAATAATTTAAAAATTTTTTTTCCGCTAGCCAATAGTTATCATAGTAGGGTTTCTACTCAAATAAGGGCTATTTGTTTTATTCCGAATTATATTGAATGTCTATTCGAATAAAACGAATAAAGTAGGATTAAGAATTCGAATAAACAGAATAAATTCGAATTAAATTGCGAGTCCCCACCCAAAAGAAAAAGTGAAGATTGATCTATGTGTATTCTGGTTAGATGAACAATAAAAATTTGTAACGCTAATATTGATGGGTTAAACGGGTAACGGTGCCAATAATACTCTCTTTTGTTCGTTTGCGACTTTCTAAGCCCATTTGATGATCATATACTGGCTTTAAAATTCGTCTTATAATGATAAAATTCGGTTTACTCCACACTGTCAAATCACCCAAACCTTTCATAAATAAATTTTATTATTTTATACGTTTTATTTAAACTATCATTAATAATAAAAAATCGTTTTTCATAATCAGAATCTTGGTAACCCGATCCATTTTAAAGTTCGGCTTATCGAGTTTTGACTATAATAGATTTTCCGATCATGAAAATTTTGCGTTTAGTCACAATGTGCAAGTTATCCCTATATTGTCATTTCACATTACATAAGCTAGCCAGCCATTAACTAATTTAATTAGGTTAGCTTTATAATTAAAAAGCCATCAAATGAAACAAGTTAACCTTAACCGGTTAAAGCATTTTGTTATCATTTAATCGTAGTCGATAATAAAGGAAATTAATAATCCTGAAATCGTTTTTTAATTGTAGAAATTTAAATTATTTCGCTAGGTGAAATGAAGCCACATTCAAACTAAATTGATTTGCTACCTATTGAAGTCTTTGAAGCGTTAAAAAACTTTCAATATGAAATTTTCAAATTTTATATCAAAACGACGGTCTTTGTTCCTTAGCTTTATTGAACTGTATTTTTTTGAGAAGTATGGGAACAAAATCAAAAGGTAAAAGTTGTGGCGAGAAATTTTGCTGTGTTGACTGCGATTTTTCAAATATTTGATTTATTAATTGAAAATTTCTAACATCAGAAATCGTAAATGTTGAACATAAACCTCACGTTTATTTTGCTTAAAAAAAAAAAATGAATAAATTATTATATGCGCACTCTTCCAAATAAACAGGACCTGCAAACTTTCATAGGCCAGTTATATAATTTGACCCAGACCAAAACCAAGTTTAATATATAATTTGACCCTAAGGTTTGCAACAACGTTAGATAATTAATTTCCCATAATATATATTAACATTAAAAATGTTGGGATCGGCTAAAAACTGGTATTTGGTTAGTATTAAGTAATCACCTTTGTGTACATGATGACAAAAAATTTTGTGTAAATTTTTTTTTTTTAAATCGATATTTGATTTCGTCAAAAATCTCTAGTATATAAATGAGTAAGTCTTTCGCGAATTATCGAATCGGATAAATAAAAAAACTCGAGATTTTTTTTACTTATTCAATAATATAAGCGGATTATAAATAAATGACAGATGGTCATCTTATTCTTCGGGGAGAAGCCAACAGCCCCGAAGATGTAATAATTAAAGAAAAAAAAGAGAGTTCTATTACAAATAAAATAAAAAAAATTTGTTTAGAGTGCGGTAGTCGTGACATCAAGTACAAGTTTTGTATAAGTTGTGAAAAACAATATTTTATACGACAATTCGGCCAATGGACAAGTAATAATGCCGAAATAGATAGATTTATAAAGTATACACAAACCAAAGCAATGGCTCAAGTAGAATTTTTCGAGTGGATAGAGTGGTCAGAATTGGATCTTATCGAGTATGAAGACACAGGATTATATAGTACAATTTATTCGGCATATTGGATCGATGGACCTATTTTATTATGGGAAAAAACCATGGACTGTTATATAAGAAATGGACCGATCAAGGTCGCGATTAAAAGATTCAACAATTCTCAAAATATATCTGAAGAATTCATCAATCGTGTAATTATTCCAATTAATTAATAATGTAATTTATTAATAATCATTATCTAATTGATTAAATTTATTGATACAATTAATTTAGTTATATAAATTACATAATTGTGTACGAAGCAATTACGTTATTGATTGTTTCGGACTTACACGAGACAACACTTTGTGCTTCTGTTTAGTAATGAAATATTATGAAAATGGGAACCTTTATCAATTTCTTGACGAATCGAAAGGAGTACTGTGTTGGCGTGATATAGTTGAAATACTCTGGTCAATATCCAATGGTCTAGACCATATACACCGTCAAAAATTATTCCACGCAAACCTTCACGGAGGAAATATATTGGTTGACAATGAAAATGATTTTATATATACATGCATTAGTGATGTTGGATTAAATATTCCAGGGGGGAGAGTAGAAGGTGAAGAAACGTTTTCTTCTGACGGGAATAACATATACGGAGTGCTTCCTTATATAGCACCTGAGGTTTTATTAGGTCGTTGTTATACTTACAAATCGGATATCTACAGTTTTGGACTTTTGATGTGGACATTAGCAGCCGGGATGAGACCTTTTTACAATGTAGCGCATAACGAAGTGCTAGCGCAAAAAATTATAGATGGAGAAAGACCAAAGATAAGCAAAGACGCGCCAAAAAGTTATAACGATCTCATGGAACAATGTTGGAATCATGATCCCACGAAACGACCAACAGCTTCGAAATTATATGAAACAATCGGATCATGGTTTGCAAAGATCTGTAACGATCCTACTCCTACTGAAATTTCAATTGAATTTGATCAAGCAGAAGAAATAAAATTTTCGAAACTCGAAAAATATACATTCCAAAAACGAAGGATTCATAAGGAAGCGATTTACACAAGTCGTTTATTAAATTTCCCAGCACTTCGGCAATAATGTCAAACGTAAACATAACAAACTTCAAAAAAAATTTTTTAAAAAACCTCTATATTTAATCTTGATTTTAATTTTTTAATCTTTTAATTACGATTTATTTTTTGATGAGATTGATTCGGATAATCTATATTAGTATTTACTTCGCTTTTTTTTTTTTTTCGAATAATAGGATTTCGAATAACAATAGATAGGATTATGATTTTCATATGTTTCAAAAAAAAATTTTTTTACGTTATTTATTCATTCATTTAAAACACACACACACATATAAATCTATGACAAATTTTGGCATTTTTATCATTTCCGTTATTGGCAAAAGCTGGATGTTAAAAAAAAAAATTTCGTTATCGTTATTTAAGAACAAGGAAAAATTAATTTACATAATAAGTGATAAATAAAAGGCAATCAAATATGTCAAACTTAAATCATGCATGTATGTTGAACTACATATTGATTTCTTTCTTCTTATTTCTAAATGTGGAAGTCAACCTAACCAAATATTATTATTATCATCCAAAGGGAAATTTCATACATTTATATATATATATTATTATTATGTAATGATAATGATAATTGAAAAAATTCTTTATTATTTTCTCTAATTACCGTATATTTTAAGCAGGCTATTCAATAATAGATAATAGCAAAGATTGATATTATTTAATGCATGCATATCATAATCAATATTTTTGTTCGCATGGTTATTGATTATGTTTGATAATGATTAGATAATATTTCCCAATCAAATCTACCGTAACTGTATTTATGCAACTGGGATGGATTGGGTTTGCAGAAATTCAAATTTAACAAAGTAAAAAATACCATATTTGTAAAACAAAGCAAACAATTACTAGCAAAGTTGTGTTTCGATAAAACTTGCAAAAATCTTGTAATCCCATTCAATGAATTAATTAAAGGCTATGAATGATAATATTTCAGATATTTATTATTTATTAGATAGTGTGCTATACCACTAAAAATGTTCCTTTCACGTTTTTTTTTCATATTCACATGTTAATTAATTTCCAGTCAATATGCCATCAAATCTTTTATTAAAGTCATGAGTGACACCTGTCTTTAAACTATAAATTTTTAATATGATGTTTTGAAAGATGTTTAATTTTATTAAGGGTTTTAATCCAATTTCGGTAAGTTTAAAATACTTATGAATTTTCAATGTTCATATCAGATGATTAATCATAATAATTTATATTATCTCTTAAACGGTCAGAGTATTCTTTAATGGTAACACAAATTAAAGTTTTGATCATTCTTATTGGTCAATTTAACGATCAGCAAAGTAAAAACAGTCAATCGACAAACTTTTAAAGATGTTACAAAAACCACAAGGACAACAACCTGGATTTTTATTTATAGATAATCAGCTGAATCTCAAAGATCATTTTCGTATTAGAAAGTGATGCCCACAGAAAAGATTTTTTATATCAGAAAAATTTTATCAGCTATCAATAGCCGATTCAAAATAAAAAAATAAAATTTTTGTGCACCTTGAAATCTTTGGTTCATAACAAGACCTTGTAGTTTGCGGTATTAACGGAATTATTTTTAACCAAAATAAGGTTCCAACGAAAGGTATATTATGTTATTATGACCAGGTTTTTTCTATTGAATTAGAACGGTCACACAATATAAAAAAGATCATCAATCGATTTTGTCACATGTGACAAATTCAAATGTCCACCATGCTTACAAAAAGAGTAGTAATGCTAATAATTTATGACAAACAATTTGATTATAAAGTTAATTCAGTGGGTGAATACATTTAACACAACTTGCATTTCTTTTTAAAAACAAAATTCGTTTAAACAATTCTAAATCTAAACGTAATCTTTTTAGCAGTCAATAAATTTTCCCTGCAAGGTAGGTTCACTCTTATTATCATTACCGTCATCATTGCCATTAAAAGAAAATCATTATCAAATTTGGTTGCAAGATTCAAAATATTGTAACATGAAAATTATTGTTGTATTTTAAGCTAAATGTTAAAATATTATGTATGTCATATACAAATATTTACATTTTTTTTTTATATATTCATTTAAAAAATAATATCAACGAAATTCCTTTTAATGACAAATATTTTTGCAATAATTAATTGTAGTAATAGAACATAATTGATAAATCATACATAATATTTAAAAGATAATAATCAATGGGCTTGAATTTCAAAAAAAGCAAACTACAATTAATATTTATTATTAATGCATTTTCTAATTTTTGTGCTGATTGAAAATAAGAACTATATACTGTACATACATAGTTTGAAAACTAATGTATTAATAAATGTGAAATAATTACTGAATAGCAATGCTCCAAAGACTTCTATCAGTAGTGCGAGCGTGTAAAATTCAATTACAGCTTGGGTTGTGTCCAATAAATATATAAGATAAAATAAATAAAAAGTCCAATAAATATAACTCCCTGTATCTGCACACAGCTCAGGGGGTCCACTAATCTATGTTTCAGGCCTCTGGTTCCCAACTCAGAGCCTACTCAAATCTCTATT